TATTTCCATATTACAAAGTAATTGAGGAACCAAGAGATTGTAGCAGCATATTCATAGTAAGTGAAAAAGTTAGGATGGATTCAAATCTGGGCAACCTGCTGGAGAACTGACAATCACTACACACACTGCCCTCAAAAGACAGTGATGTATTTAAGGAGCGGCAAATTATCCAATTGAAGAAACTTTCATTAAACACCCACAATGGTCTGGGCACTGTGCCAGGTGCTGGAGACACGGAGATGAGAAACACAAGCAGCAAAGAGAGCCCCCTTGCAGTAGGGAAGACACAATATTTACACAATAGTGTTAGATGTGATCTAGAAGTAACACAAAGGAAAGAGTAATTGATTCTGTTGAGGCCTCAGGAATAGGATGACATCTCAGAAGAGATGATCACAGATGAAGTTTTTATAAAATAAACTGAAGCTCTCCAAGAATATTTGGAGATTTGTGAGATAATAGAAAATATATATTGGTCTCTGCCCCCATGCCCGTTCCCAGCACAGAGCCTCTAAAACCCTTGTGATTTTCTAGGTGATAAGAGCGCTAGAAGCATCTCTTGTTCTAATATTTGTCTTTGACTCTGACCCTGACACAGGTGTCCTAAAACTCCAATAAATTCCTAAGTGATAAGAGCATTAGGAGTATCTTTTGTGCTAGTGAGGCAACTCTGGGTGGGCTCCTGGATGTGGGCTGCTCACCAGAAAGACCAAGCCATGATGAGAAGCTTGGAATTTTCAGCCCCACCCCACAACACTTCTTCAGAAAGGGGAGAAGGCCTGAAATGCAGTTATAATTGATCATGCCTACGTGACAAAGCCTCCATAAACATCCCAACAGCATGAATTCTGGACAGCTTCTGGGTTAATTAACACATTCCAACCAGGAGGTTATGCACTCCAACTCCACAGGAACTGAAGCTCTTGTGCTCGGGACCCTCCCAGACCTCACCCTATGTATCTCTTCATCTGGCTGTTCACCTGCATCCTTTATCATATCCTTCAATAAACTAGCAAATGTAAGGAAGTGTTTCCCTGAGTTCTGTGAACCACTCTAGCAAATTAATCAAACCCAAGGAGTGGGTCTTTGGAACCTCTGATAACCTTGACTTGAGACTGTCTAAAGAGGTTGAGGGTGGCGGGGGCACAGCAGTCTCGTGGGGCTGAGCCCTTACCTGTAGGATTTGATATCATCTCCAGGTAGATACTGAGTTGAACTGTAGGACACCCAGCCAGCGTTGCAGGGAACTGCTTGGTGTGTGTGCGGTAGGGAGTGGGAAGGGGGGCCTTCCATTAATCTGGTGATCGGAAGTGTCAGACTGAAATGTTTTGTGTGAATAGTAAAGGAGACACACAGGAAAGGGAAACACAGAAGGAAGGGGGAAACTGAGGTCTTCCCTACATCAGATGAAAAAAAACTTTTCAAGCAGAATACGAAGAATGAACAAAGGCACAAGATATGAAGGGATATTTCAAATATTCTTACAGATGTGCTGATGTGGCAAAATAATAACAGAACTGGATAGATGAGAGGAGGGTGAGTGGAGGCAGGAAAGCACCTGGGGAAGGAAAGGCAATTTTCAGGACAGGAAATAGAGGGGGTAGAGCTACAGAGGTGACTGTGACAGGGCAGTCAGGCCCAGCCATTTTCTGCACAGCAGAGAGTCCATCTGACAGGGGGGTGCATGCGGGAGGGGGGGAACCAGGCACAAGGAAGAAGGGACTGCTGATGTTCTTCCAAGGATGAACCAAGAGAAACGCAAACAGTGGTGACCCTTTTTAACATATAGAAGTATTAAACCGCTATGCTGTGCACCTGGAACTAACGCAGTGTTGTACGTCAATTACACTTCAAAAAAAACAAACAAACAAAAGAACGTTGCTAAATAAAAAACAAAACAGCAAACACTACCAGCTGCCTCTAGGAATGTGAGCCAGGAGGCAGGAGGCAGCCAGGTGAGTGTTCACTGACTCAGAGTTTAAAAAGCTGGAGACTGCAATGTATGCGTCAGAATTATTCTCTACTCTGAAAGCATTTCACTGCAAAACAGCAGAATTCCAAGTATATAAGTTCCTTGTCTTAAAACTGTCATAGTTCTACAATACATATACAGTGGACCCCTGAACAACACAGGAACTACTCTGTATATAACTTGTTGTCAGCTCTCTACAGCCACGATTCCTCCACTTCTGGGGATTCAACCAACCATGGATCGTGTAGTATTATACAGTATTTACTACTGAAAAATATCCACATGTAAGTGGACCAAGGAAGTGCAAACCACAGTGTCCAAGAGCAAACTGTATGTTTAAATGCACATACATAACTGAGTAATAATTCTAACCATTTCAGGTAGCACGCTACAGCAGAAATATTACAGACATAAAGTTAAGTAAATAAGACATACTGTACCTTTAGGTGACAATGAGGTTTTAGATAAATTTAAATATTTTAACCCCTTTGGGAGTTTGGCAAACTGAATACTTAAAGATGACACACCTGAGAAAGAAAGAAAAAAATGATTATTAGAATTTTCAAGTTCCTGGGATTGTATTTGTGTCATAATGCCTGAAAACTAACTTAAGTATGATTCAAATTTAAGTGATCACTTTTTCTTCCTAATATTAGACCTTGTTTTCTAATCATCTACCATCATGCCTCCTTTTCTTTGTTTCACCACTACTCTCCTTTCCTGTAGGATAGAAAAGCATAACAAGTATCAAAACTTTACCATTAGAGATGTTTTTCTTTGGACCAAGTGTTATCCTCTCCTCATAGTCCTTTTTCAAATGCAAATACTCTTGGGAAGAATGATATAAGTCTGCCTCCCTCTTCTTTTTAAACTGTCTTAATGAGTTGATCACTTCTGGGTGAGCAGATGCATGCTATTTAATTATTGCCAAGAAAAAAAATGTGATATTAACTATTCAGGTAACAGCTTCCCTTTAGCATATGTATTCCAATATTTAATTGGCTTATGGCTAACAACCTCAGACAAAGCATCAGGCTTGTTCCAATTTCTTAAAGGTAGGTTTCATAACATAAAATAACTCCCAAGGAATTTACAGTATTAAAAATCGGTCTCTAAATTTAATGGCCAGAGTGGGGCACCATGAATATCAGCTCATTCATCCAAAGATTGCAATGAATGTAGACTCTTTTCTGGAAGGAAATAAGTAATACATGAATGTATGCTCTTCCTATAGGTCCTTCAACCAACCTCCTGCTGCACCTGAGTTATCACCCCCCGGGGGCATGCTTTGGGGAAGAATCCTAAAACAGTTTTAACCACATGGTCCCACAGACTGAGTCTCAAACCGCAGGCACCGAGAAGTTTGTAAAAATTCATTACGGTAAAAACTTGGGATCTACGGACTTTTCTGAATGTACATTATTCGTCAATGAAAACAATTACTTCAAAAAATTAGGTATGGAAGATAAAAGAGGGAAAAAACCTCTAACTGTGGGTATTGCAGTGACTTTTTAGATACAACACCAAAGGCACAGTCCATGAAAGAAATCATCGGTAAGCTGGGCTTCATTAAAATTGAAAAGTTCTGCTCTGCAAAAGACAATGTCGAAAGACAGGACAAGCCACAGACTGAGAGGAAATCTTTGCAAAAAGGCACATCTGATAAAGGACTGTTATTCGAAATATACAAAGAACTCTTAAAACTCAACACTAAGAAAATGAACAAGCTAGTTTTAAAATAAGCCAAGACCTTAACAGACATCTCACCAAAGATAGACAGATGGCTAATAAGCATATGAAAAGATGCCCCACATCACTGTCATCAGTTAAAACAACAATAAGATACTACTAGACACCTATTAGGATGGCGAAAACCTGAAACACTGACAATACCAAATGCTGGCCAAGATGTGGAGCAAGAGGAACTCTCATTCATTGCTGGGGAGAATGCAAAATGGTATGGCCACCTTGGAAGACAGTTTGGTGGTTCCTTACAAAACTAAACATATCATTACTGTGTGAGCCAGCAATCACATCCCTTGGTATTTACCCAAAGGAGTTGAAAACTATATGAAATTCTGGAAAAGGCAAAACTATAGAGATAGTAGAAAGATCAGTGACTGACAGGGGTTGGGTGTGGGGCGGGGGCATGAGGAGGAGGATAAATAGGTACAGAACTTCTCGGGTAGTGAAAATACTCTGTATAAAGCTATAGTGATGGGTGCATGTTATCACACATTTGTCCCATCCCACAGGTTGTACAACACCAAGAGTGAACCCTAGTGAAAACTGTGGACTTCCCTGATGATATGTGTCAAGGTAGGGTCATCAATTGTAACAAATGTATCAGTCTGGTGATAGATACTGATAATAGGGGAGGCTCCCCATTTGTAGGGACAGGGAGTACATGGGAAATCTCTGTATCTTCTCAATTTTGCTGTGAACCTAAAACTAACCTTAAAAAAATTAAGTCTCTTTTAAAAAATTAGGTACGTAAGAGGGAAGGCTCTCAGAGTTTTACTTTAATTACGAGTAAAAGAGTTATCATTGCCTACTCTTAACCAATTCTTTCATGTCTTTTTTCACTTAGCAAAAAATATATGCTACTACAATGTTAAAAAAAATTACATATCTCCAAATCATGCTAAAAATATCATTAGATCAAAGTTAAAACCTACCACTAAACTTCAAACTTATTGCACTCAGGTTGACTCGAGTTGTTCTGCTTTGTTCTTTGAGAAGATGGTAATTTTTAAACTGTCAATATTTTCTTTTGTGTCAGACACACCGGTAACATCGTGTAAAACTATAAATGCCTATACTTAAATGCAAGGCCAGAAAGGAACAATTATTTTATGCTACTGGTGACACCCATCCATCTGTTCATTCCTTGATCATAAACTTTCTTTTTAAAAGGAAGGTAGATGAAAATCCAAAAGGAGTTTTCTCTAGAAATAGAACTATCAAACACTAAGTAGTGAAAATAATAAAAAGTGAACTCCTGAATTAGAATAAAGGTGAAGACAGGTTTGATAATTCACCAAAAGGAAAAAGAAGGACTAAAGGTAAACAGGATTAAAGGTAAAAAGAACCAAAGACACAGATACAAGATTGTCCGGTTCAAGTATTTTTTTATCTAATTCTACACTAAGTTCCTAGCTTCTTTCTTTCTTGACAAAAATATTTTGTTTCAGTTTCCTAGGCAGCCACAAGTCATAAATACATGATAGTTCTTTTTAAAGAGACACCCTTGCTAAGTGCTAATGGAATGAAAGGCCTAACTGGAGTTTGTATTGTTCATTTTTTTTGAAAATGAAAAAACTAAATTGATTTCTGATAAAACAGATTATGACACAAAGGGCCCTCCACTCTGGGAGACGTCAGAAATGGGATCTTGGCAACATGAATAAATTGAGGGCGGCTGGCAGCCAAAATCTTAGGAAAAAACAAAACAAAACACTTAACCTGCCCTGTACTTTCTGAAGCTAGTTACTCAATTGTGTCATGGAAGAAACTGATCATCAAGAAAACATTTCCTCACAAAGAAAGGACCGAGGAGACTTTTCAACTTTTGGCCAAAAGTATTCGATCCTGTCCCCAAAATAAAACAAAACTTAGCCTTTAGAGCTGTGACTCAAAACAAAATTTATCACCCAAAGCTTTCATTTGGAGACTTAACTAGATGAATAACCCTTCCTGTGATTTATTTTTGTTTTAGTATGTGTCAAATTTAGAAGAAAATAATGGTCTAATTTTTATTTCTCCTCTCAAAATGAAACTATTACAGCTCCTTCTGCTTTGAAATATTTATGACTAATAAAAAAGTAATTATAAAATGTTTAGTATTATAATTGACCATCTGATGTTATTCACTTACAAAGACAGGAAATTAAATTTGATGCTGCAGATCTAACCCATTAATCATGCATGTACTTAAAGCCCTATGACAGAAACATATAAAACTCTTAACACTTTGATATTCTAGAAACAGTATGATTCACATGGTAGGAAAAAAGGGTTTATGATAAGTACTCATCAATTGAAAGTGTAATACTAGTAATTTAATAAAATCCAGTCTATGGAGTTCTAGCAAGATGATACAGGGAAACAAACAGCCTCCTTGTCTGTTAGAAAGCACATAGATTTGAACATTGTAGATGTTAGAACACAGGTGAAAGTAAAACCTTTAGATTTCTACTAATTCCTATGGAGAGGTCAGAAACACAAAAAAAAACTAAATTAATAAATAAAATACAATAGAATATTTCCATTTCAAAAATCAGGCTGAAAGAGATTCAAGAACTAGGAATACAGAAAATAAAAGACCAGTGGAAAAAAACAAGGTCAACATGCTTAATTTTTGAAAAGCCCTAAAATTCCAATCTATGCAGTTTTTTTAAAAAATTGTTTTCCCTTGTATAACCACAAAAATATCAATTAAATATGAAATCATAACTCTCAAGAAAAGTACTTTCTCGTTGGTAGCTGTCATGCAGAAACCTGGCATCTGGCATCTTTGAATATCAAAGTGATTATTTAAGATTTATTGATGTGCTATGGAATAAGCCAATGTTTCCCAGATCGCATACTCAAAATTATTTCCTTCCACTTCCAAAGGAAATCTAGACAGCCAAATTAGAAAATCCGAACCATAGTAGAAGAGACTGATCGATTGATTACTTGGGGAATCCTTGACAGGAGTCTGAACAATTAGTGTTAGGTACGACTCTGTAAGCTTTTCCAAATGATGTAAATACTGTTTCCTCATTAATAAAAGGGAAATAATAACATTTGCACTATTTAACTTCACAAGATTATTGTATGAATCAAGTAAGGTGGTAAAAGTTGACATTTTTTAGTGCACAGTATGTGACAGGCTATTCTTATAGCTTTTGTGTGTTATCTCATTCAATCCTTGGTATGCCGTTACGTGGTAGGTGCTATTATTATTTTAAAGATGAGGAGTCTGAGGTTTAGAGAAGTCAGGTAACTTGTCCAAGGAAACTCAGCTAGAAAGTGGCGAAGCCCAGATTGGAGCCCATGTATTCTGACTCCAGAACCCACAGGTACACACTGAGATGTGGAAGATCTATATAGCATCCCAAAATGTAAGCTGCAATTCCAGAATCTACTTCTCTTGTCTTATTTAGAAGATCATATCTAAACCACCACCAGGTGGGTGGGAAAAAAATATTTGGATGCTTCAGGTCAACATTTCCCAAAAAAAACACTCCAAGACAGGATTCTAAATTATCTTTAAACAAAATAATTAAATTTAGGACAAAGCGAAGGGAAGAAATAAGGACAGACATTCCTGACAAGGCTAAGATCCTAAAATTTAGGGTAACTGAGAAGGGTACCTAAGAAGAGAACATGGAGTTTGTAACATTTAGGGAAGGAAAGCGTGTGAAATGAGCGGAGAGAGAAGAGCTGTATTCCCCGAAAACACTCAACTTGGATCCAAAAATTCATCAGATCCAAAGGATTAGTCACGAGGCAATGACTGAAACACTCTGATTCAGATACTAGGTCAGTCCAGAGGACTAGTTAATAAAGTTCAGCTAGAGCAGGGACATTCAAGCTTTTTCTACCGTGACCCACTTACAGAAATAGATGAGACAGCGTGATGTAGGAACCTCATACCAAAATAAACACACACACACATATTAGAAAACTAAAACTCAAGCTTTCCTGAACACGTCACTCTGTTTTCTATTCTGTTCTATTTCTTCTTTTTTAAAAAGAAATGCATCTTCTGAACTACTAAACTGATTTCATGGGCAGCTAATGGGTCTTTTCATACAATGTGGAAACACACTGGGTCAGAAGGCCAAGAGCGAGCTGGGGAACAGGCCTGGCCCTGCAGACAGGACAAGAAGAGCTTGGTGTGTGGTCTGGTCACTGCCTTGGTGGCTCTTTCAGAGAGAGAGCAGGGCATCTCTCATTTGAAGCACTACCCACACACGCTACACCCCTGCTTCCTAAATCACACTTCAACCTCCTCCCACACATGCCCCATGACACTGCCTGTCCTTTGCATATGAACATGACAAGGTGACGGAGCTGTAAGTATCAGGGACTTGTTGCATCATTTGTATCACAAAGCAAGGAGATAAACTCTCTCTGAGAGTTTCCAAAAAAGTCCCTGGGAGGATGGTTCAGGTGCAAAATCAGATTCCACTTGGTGTTTCAATTCCTCAGAATTCTGGCCTGCCAAACTGCCTGGTGTTTCTTTGAGTTTCCTTGTAAATAATCTTCCCTGGCTCTGTCTCTTTTCTAGACTACACAATTCAGTTACAAAACTCATCCCCCGTGCTTTTGATTGTTTTCAGTGGAAAAGCTCAGAAACCAAAGTCATGAGAATGTTTCCCTGTTCTGAAATTCTTATCAGTATTTTACACTCAGTTGGATTTCTTGTGGGATTTCCATCCAGGAGCAGAAAGGCTATCAATCATCTTCAGACAGTTCACCTGGATGGAGAAAACCTATAAAGAATTTGTGTCTGGGAGGTTCAGTCCCAAGAGTGGAGAAAGGTGGGAAACACGGGTGCTAGCAGCTGTCCAAGAGTGCTGGGAAACACAGCGACAGAGGCACCTAGAAGGGGCAGAAACACGGAAAGTCCTAGCTTGAGAAAGTATTTGCAGGAGTGTCAAAACTTGAGCGTATGTGTATGTATGACTGAACTATTACACTGCACACCAGAAATTGACACAACATTGTAAACTGACTATATTTCAACTGAAAAAAAAAAAGACTCAATTTAAAAAAAGCAAAAACAAAAACTTGAGTGTATGTGAGCAGAAAACACCCTGGAGAGGAAAGCATCCTTGGAATGATTCATGGTTCTGACACCTGTGAATGGGCTGCAGGTAGGTCAAAAGATCACCTACAAAATCAGGTCACCAAGGTAGGAATGTGGATGGAAAAAGCAGGGAAACGTCAGCTCTGAACACTCTTTTCTGACTCCACACAAAAGAAGTCTCTGTAAACTGTGCCGTGGTTTTCAACTGCAATGAAAGAAACCACCAAAGGGAATTAGAGTAAATGAAAGCAGACCTAAATTCAAAGAAAATATTTACTGATTATGTATAAGGTCTTAGATGCGGTGTCTTAGGAGGTGAGCGAGAATGAGGGACAAGGAGTAGGGATGAGAATTACACTGGGGGAGAAACGCCCTCATCTGATTACAGCACAGCAGAATGAAGTGTGTGCTGTCGTAGAAGTTTTCACCGAGGGCAAGGGTCCAACAGGTAACACTAACTTGAGCGGCAGGCTGTCCGGTAGGGCTGCACCCCAGAGGAACTCGACAGAAAAGGAGATGAAGGGCCTGAGATTCATCCTTCCTGCACAATCTCCCAAACCCAAACACTAGGAGAGGTCTTTAGGGTCTGGTTACTCTCACTGAACATGATGTTTTTGAGGTTCAGCCATGCCACGCAGTATCAGTGCTTCATTCGTTGTCTCGTACTGCTGGGCAGGGCTCCACTGTACAGATACACCACACTTTGTTTATCCCCTCACCAGCGATGGGCATTGGGGTGTTTTCCACTTTGGGGCTATCAGGCAGAACACAGCTATCAACAGTCATTTCACAAGTCTTTGTGTAGACAGATGTTTCATTTCTCTTGGGCAATACCTAGGAGTGGTACTGCTGGGTCATACAGCAAATTTGTGTTCAACTTTTTAAGCAACTGTCTAACCAGAATCCAAAGAGGCTGCACCGTTTTATACCCCCTCTAGTAATGCATGAGTTCCCATTTCGCACATCCGCTCCAAGACTTACTTTGGTTATAGCCAAACTACTGGCTGTGAAGCGGTATCTCAATGCAGCTGGAATTTGCATTTCCCTGATGACTAAGGAGTATCCCTTTCCAGTCTACTGCACTCTGGATTTCACGTCCTTAGGTAACTGCATTTAACAACTACTGATTTCGTCCTGTCAGTAGATAAATATGTCTGAGTCCCTTCCGTCTTAAAAACAAAAGCAAAACAGCCTTCCTGTCTATAAAAGATGATCTACACCGTTTCCATTCTGTTATATTCACCTCTTTGTAGCATTTGACCAAGGGAGAGAACACTTGTTTTTCCTAAAGAAGATACTAAACCCCAGAGAAGCTTCTATTCCAGGGAGATGTCTCCATCATTTTCAGCTTTGCCTTCTATATCTAGAAGAGTGTCTTTCATGTGATCTAGTGCTCCAATTCAGTCTCAACCTTCCCTTAGATTAACTACTTCAAATGCTGTGAAAGTTCCGCTTCAAATGTTTGCTTGGATACCACACAGGTATCTTTTTCAATAAAGAACAATGTCAATATCAGGAACAAAAAAGCAGAACTGAGTGTCTCTATCAGTATCTTCAGTTTACTTTAATAATTAATCCTCATCAAATATATAACATCACAAGATGAAAGGCCCTTATTCAACAGAGCTGGAAAACATCTGCAACAGATAATGAAAACAAAGTGTTCCCTCTAGAGATAAAGCTATTTCTTCTTAAACCTCGCCCATTAGTGTTCTACTGAGAATTCAAATTCTCAAGTTTCACTCCCTAAACCTGACTCGTCCCTCTACTCATGCAAACACTTCAACGAAACCATCTTTCGCCTCATCAAGAAATCTAGTCCTTCAACTTCTCTCTGTTCTCACATTGAAGTCTTGTTAAATACTAAAGACTTTTGTGATAGGGAGAATTGTAAGACGGTCCTCAAGATTCCCTGCCCTGCCCTGGTAACATCCTATAAGATTTCCTCAAGTGTGTGGGGCAGACCAATGAATATGATGGGATATCATGGATGTGATTAGGTTACTAATCAGTTGACCCTGAGTTATCAAAAGGGAGACTGTCCTGGGTGGGTCTGACCCAAACAGGTGAGCTGTCTAAAAGGAGGAGTCCACATGGCAAGGACCTGAACACAGCCTCCAGGTGCTGGGAGTGGTCCCAGCCTGGCAGCAAATAAGAAAATGGTGACCTAGTCCTACAGTCTCAGGAAATTAATTCTGCCAACAACCAATGTGCTTGAGGAAGACCTCACATCACAAATAAGATCAAAGTCCAGCTGACAACTTGATTTCAGCCTCAGAAGGCTGAGGAGGGAATCCAGCTAACCTGTAGCCAGACTACTGGCCCAAAGAAACTGTGTGATAATAGATCCATGTCATCTTAAGCTGCCACATTTGTGGTGATTTGTTACGTGGCAAAAGAAAACCAATACAACTGTTTAAAAATAATATCCTCCTATCCATTTGTATCGCTTCAAAAATAGTTCATCAGATAATAAAATTTTAGCATGAGTATTTTCCCCGAAGGGTGGAAAGACTCAAAAGCCAACAAGAGCATCAGCAGCCTTTATAGCATAATTACAACAAAGCCTTTTACTATTCTTCAGGCACGGCTAAATTAAAACGCCCTAATCCTCTCGTAATTCCAACATCAACGGTCACATAAGTGCTCCAGTACCTCGATCCTCCAGTGGGTTGCCAGCAAGGTTAATCGTGTGGAGTCCTGAGTTGGGATTATGTGCCAGAGCACTGGCCAGTTTTTGTGCAAAATCTCTGCAAGCCAACAAAACAATAAGATTAAATAACATAAAAATGTAAAGCTGCTCGAATCAAACACTTAACACTAGAATAGCTAGGGTGAAATCTAAAAAGAGAGACATGTTCTTTGCAATAATAATCTACATATTATATATTTGTTAAGAACCAATCTATTTACACTAGCACATATCCTCATTAGAGAATCTGTAAAGCCATAGCTAGAATATGGCTCATCTTGATTAGTCAAAGCCTCATTCAAAAGAAAATATATAGCTGCCCCTTTAAAGACACATTGCAGAATGCTATTAATGGTATTATCTAGCCCCTCCATAACTTAAAAAACAAATTCTGAACTGAATCTACTTTTCATGAAAACGGCAATAGGTTTTTCCCTCTATCAGTTCTAATTCCATGCAATACTCATGAATGCAAAACTGACTGCCCTAATCATCGAATTTAAAGGCTACAGTTGCTAGCACCATATTTTAACAAAAATCAAAATCACTATCTTAGGTATGTGGGACTTCACGCACCAAGGGCCATGATTATGAAACTGGCAACCCTCCTTGCTTAGTAACAGAACAGTCTTTATCCCAGCGGGTTCAAAGCTGCATGCTCCTGGTGAGGCTAAGGTATTGATTACTGATCCACTGGATGAAGACTATTTACATGTGAATTTGAAAAAAAAAAAAAAAAAAGGAAAGAAATGGCTAAAACAGATCAAAGCAAAGCTGTACAATCATAATGAAATGTGTTATTACTATGACTTCCATTAATGATACTAATTAAAGCTAACACATAGTATCTATAATACGAAAAATATTTTTCAAAGCACACACGTGTTAATTCATTTATCCTTACAACTGTAAAGAAGGCACTCTTATTCTCTCCAGTTTAAAGATGAAGAGACTGAGGCACAGAAAACTGAAACAACTTGCCCAGAGCCATGAGGCATCTGACTCAAGGGTCCGTGCTCTTAACCACCATACTATGTACCCTCAAAAATATCATCAGACACAATTGTCAGTGATGTTATAAAATCCCTGACCTTGTGACAATGATGAGGATCACAGGGATTTTTTTTTGAGGAGGGAAAACACTATATGTAAGTGGCCCAATTGCTTTTTTCAAAACTACATGTTAATTTTAGAGGAAATGGCAAAAAGTTTTATAATTCATATATTCAAGAAAATACTCACGTTCTAAGCCCAGCGTTTTCCAACACCAATTCTTCCAGTCGATTGGACCTACTCACCACCCTCAAGATTTGTTCACAGACATCAGTGGACTGTAACAGAAAATATGCATTGACCATGTTGTAAGCCTAAAAACAACCTCACTTCATTGTTATAAATCTATGCAGAAGCAAAGCTGTAGTTTAAAAAAAATCACTCAGTCAGTCAACAAACTATGACTCAACATCTACTACTACACACCATCATGATGAAGGTCCTGGGAATACAACACATAAAGGGCAAAGTCCCTGCCTTCAAGAGTGCACCATCCGGCAGGCAATCAGACGAGAAGGAAATATACAATGAGGACAGAAAAATTAAAAGGCCACTTTGGTAGTGCTATGGGCCCACAGAGGCGCATCTCACCTCATCCTGGAAAACCAAAAGGAATTCCCAAGAATGTGATATTCAAAATAACTCAAGACTGAGAGGTCGAGATGATGGTGATGACGCTGACAATGGAGATCTCTTTCCTGAGCTCTTGACAAATGCCAGACCCTGCGCTAAGCTCTTCATGTGTATTTCATTATCAAACTGTTAATGAGGTATTATTACTCCCTTTTTATAGTTAAAAAAATAGATTTAAAGATGTCATGTATTTTGAAAGGGAGGCTGAATAACTACCTGATATACATTAAGTATTACAATGTTCCCACCAGTAGTCTCTAAACAAGGGTAAAGTAATAAGAAAGACTTCAATAAATAATGGTCTCTTATGTTAATAAACATCATGTTCACAAAAATTATATAGTTGTAAACTTACATCTGTCAAAATATTTTAAATGCTTAGGATATAATGTTAGATGAAAATGGATAATTAAAATGAAATGTTTAATAAAGATTACAATTAAAATGGCTCATGTATACAGCAGAAGTGTTGAGGGGACTATGAAAAATGAAGAATTGTGCCCTGATAGAACTGTGCATCATTTTTTCTTTTAAATTTTTGTTTATTAATGTTTTATATTTAGTTATATCCTGCCTTATTCCAAAACTAATTTAAGGTAGCTCCTGACCTTAAAATTATCCACACATTAGTGATTTTTAAGTGCCATTATTACTTAGGGTCTATTTAAATCCTTTATGTTAAAAAAAAAAGAAAAGAAAAATCATTTTCTGTGTGTCATGGCATACAATAGTCAAAGCAGTTTCTTTTTTTTAAAGTACCACATAAAAATATTACAGTTCTTGATCAAATCATAAATACCCAACTGGATTAACCATAACTAGAACAGTATAAAATGTAGCAGAAGTTCTCCAGTCACGTAGACTTTAGAAAAACTGGCTTGGAAAACTGCAAAGTCCCACAGCATTTAAGGCTTTTGTAATTATTATGCGCTGTTTGATTCCACTGGGTCTATAAAGTTGCTCTCACAATATTCCTGGATTTCTAATGTGTCCCACATTGATGAAGGGAGAGGAAAATTAATTCCAAGTGACCTGATGCCTATAATTTATATTATGCTGATGGGGGTGATTTTCAAAACAGTGACCCCTTATCAGTATAATTCTTTGCCTTACAATATACAGCCAGGGGAACTGAGCTTATTCTGTGTTGCCATGATAAAAAGTGATTACTCAGACATGTTTTTGTCAAGATTATTCTAATCTCTAGAAACAATCCATGGTAAAATTACCTTTCCAGGGCGACCTCAGAGCATCCAGAAAAGTAATTTACCAAAGCCAAGCTATGAAGTAGGACTTTCATTTACCCATTGGGCATAATTACTGTAATAAAAATGTATTTTAAAAATGTACGGGAAGTGTGCCCAACTTTTCTTGAAGATGCCAGTAGGGGAGAGGTGTAACGAGTTATTCATGATCACATTAATTCTGCTACTTTTTATTAAGTGCCAACTATATGAAAAGCATTATTTGCTACACCAAACACTATATATAGTGATGAATATTTTAAAGACATACACACACAACCTAGATACCAAATAAAACGTCACCATTATGGTCATCTCCCTCAAACGTCTACTGCATGTTTAGCACTCTGCTCACTGATTTAGGGAAAAATTTTTTTAACAAATTAATACAATGAATCTCCACGAGCGTGTATTCAGTTAAAAATCAAATGTGTGGTATAAAAACTAGACAAATCACTATAAAATACCAAATGAGCTAGCTCAAAATAAAACAAATATGGAAATTTGGAACTAGGAGGAACCACATATATCATCCAGCCCAATCATCATTTTAAAAAGATTTAAAAAGACCCAGTGATGTTCACTGACTTAGCTAAATTATAAAACTGAGTTGAGCAAGACCCCAATTCTATTGCTATTTTATTGAGTATAGAACAGTGGGACAGAAATTTGGTCCTAATTGTATATTTGGCATATTAAAAAAAATCCCTCTATCCTTCTATTCAAAGTTGGAATAATGACTGCAAACTGGCTTCAGAAGGTAGGCATAAAACATGTAAGTTATATTTTTCCTGTGGTACCTTAAGCACAGGAGACTTTTATTGAGCTAGGCTTTTTTTTTTAAATTGAATTATAGTTGATTTACAACATTGTGTTAGTTGCTGGTATACAGTATACTGATTCAGTTATGCATATATATATATATATCCTTTTCATAGGCCTTTTCAATATAGCTTATTACAAGATATTGAATATAGTTCCCTATGTTATGCAGTATGACCTTATTGTTTATCTATTGTGTATAGTAGTGTGTATCTACAAATTCGGAACTCCCAACTTATCCCAAAATCTCTTTCCCCCAGTAACCATATGTTTGTTTTCTACATCTATGTGTCTGTTTCTGTTTTGTAAATAAGTTCATTTCTCTCTTTTTCTTTTTTTTTTTAGATTCCGCATGTAAATGATCTCATATAGTAGTTTTCTTTCTCTCTCTGACTTACTTCACTTAGTATGATAATCTCTAGGTCCATTCATGTTGCTGCAAATGGCATTATTTCATTCTTTTTTATGGCTGAGTAGTATTCTACTGTATGTGTATAGTGTGTATATGTGTGTAATATATATATATATATATATATATTATATAAATAAAATATATACCACAACTTTTTTTATCCAGTCACTTGTTAATGGACATTTAGGCTGTTTCCATGTTTTGGCTATTATAAATAGTGCTGCTATGAACATTGGGGTGCATGTATCTTTTTGATGTCTCCTCCAGATAGATGCCAGGAGTGGGATTGTTGGATCACATGGCAAGTCTATTTTTGGTTTTTTAAGGAATCTCCATACTGTTTTCCTTAGTGACGGCACCAAACTACATGCCCACCAACAGTGTAGAAGAGTTTCCTATTCCCTACATCCTCTCCAGCATTTATTGTTTGTAGATGTTTTAATGATGGCCATTCTGACCAAAGTGAGATGATACCTCATTGTAGTTTTGATTTGCATTTCTCAGATAATTTGAGCTAGGAGCAATGTTAACAGCCCAGAGAATTCATGTAACTCGAGAGGAAGTCACTTCTTTTTACACTTCATGTTTTAAAAAATCCAAAGAAGGTGTAATGCCTTCTTTTCCTTTGTTAGAAGATGTTCTGGGATTGCATACTGCAGTCCCCATGAAAGGGGAAAGTATCATTTCTTTTTTAACTTTGGGTAAGTAGAAAACATGAAGAATTGCTATTCTTTTTGAAAACTTGCAGAATGATATCCCCTAAACCATTTTTTCATTTTAAAATATCAAATATTAAAAAGATGCACATGTGCATTTTTGTGTCTAAGTCTCAGTTAATAGAAAAGCAGTGAGGACAATCCTCAAAGCTTGTCACTCCACTTCCTGCTGTCCCGGGATACCCACGAAAGCGTATGAGAACCTACATGCTCTGTCCTGCCAAGGCTGAAATAATTAGGTGCATGTTCTTCCCTCAACATCTAAGGCAGTTAAAGGGAGATGTTCCCTAGGAGGAATGACAGAATGGCAGCACGAGTGGCCGGGTACTATTGATTGGGGACACCATCCAAAAGTGGCAGCTCTCTTGTGCCCCATTTTGACAATCATGAGCTTAGATGAATAGCTGAATGAGCCAGGAAAACTGACTTGGTAGCGAAGCTTTGTTCTCTCTGATCCCACAATCCCTGGGCTAATCTACTTCTCTTTCCTTGAATGGCTCCACTCTCACATCTGTAATCTCTGGTGGCTCAGTCCTGCAGATAGTCCCCATCCCTGCAAGCAGCAAATGAGAGGCTTCTGTTCCCAGGTCTCCCATCATGGCTGTCTGTCTGTTCCCTGGGTGTTCACCATCCATACCTCCATCATCCCTGACCTCAGATGCCCTTCCTGCTGAGCTGATACAGTTTCCATAATTCATGCCCCAACATTGTTCATTTCTCAGCCTCTTTGTTAATCTGACTGTGATGATAACAGTGCCTGACAGCTTGTTAGGCACTGGGTGAGAATTTCTATACAAATTATTTACTCATCTCAATGACCTGCAAATTAGTTCTATTGCTACGTCCATTCATTCATTCAACAAACGAATTTGACACCTATTTATTAAACCAACTTTTACTGAGTAGCTATTATGAGCCACATACTCTGATAAGCACTGAAGGGAGATCAATAAGACATGAGCTCCAACTAGCTCACAATAATAGGCTGGCAGGAAGTAGACACCCTGGAAGGTCAAGTCATGTATCTAAGGTCACACAACCTTGTAATAAGAGTCAGAATCTGAAACCCAGGTTTATGCTTTCAAACCCACACTTCTCCTGCACCACATCAGCTCTTAACAAGCCCCAGATGAGTTAAGCCAGTGCTCAAACTGAGAATGCCTTAAGCCACTCACACCCCAGGCAAGTTTAGAGAAACAGCAGCCTGCCCGCCAGCGAATCCTAACCCTTCACTTTCTATAGACGCATGTCTCAAACCAAATCTTACCTCTTCACTATGAAAATTTTAAACTCCTAGTTTCTATGACTTATGAAAAATGCAGGCTTGAAAATCAGAGTCTCCCAGAAAACAACATCTAAATTATCTCTGGTGCTAAAATGAAGAGGCAGGAAGCTAACTCACGGATAAGCATCTGTCCATATGGCTGCTTTGAACTTGCAAAAAATCCCCAACCCACCATCTTATTTCCCCTAGTAACAGATCAAAACTTGCCCCCTCCTCACCAAGCCTTATGAAAACTAACAGATTTCACTTTGATTTCATTTTGCTTCCATATAAATCTGCCCAAAAACTCATCTAGAAAATGAACATTAACTATCATAACTCAACCCAACCAACTCTACCTTGGTAATGTTTTCCTAAATGTTCTGGAAGGGAAGCTTTGTGGAGATGGGAGGCAAGATAGAAACATAAAATCTGCTGTCTGCAGCTGTGCAAATGTAACTTCAACCGTTCTGCCAGCAGAATGAGTGTGACTGAAGGCTCCACTAAACGTATCTTTCTGTTTATCATTGAGAATTGCCTGAAGCAACTGAAAACATGAGGAAGTACTTCTCTGAAGCATCTCACATTACAAACTTTATAAAATGTTCTGTGGATCTTTTATAGGAAAATATCTCCCCAAGAAATAACATGTATGCAGCTCACCAGTATAACAGAGAAACAAATGGGTTTAAAAAAAAACTATCAGGTTTTTGAAATTCAACAAAGCTAAGCAACAGCTTCAATCACTTACCAGTTTTAGATCCTTTGAGGACAGCTTAGTGAACCACTGATTGTATTCCAGAGCAGCAATGATAGGTATTAGGTCCCTAGAAGCAGAAATAACAAATTACGTAAAAATGCCCTTACGATAGCTATACTGGCGCAGTATAGCTATTAAAAATTCATTCAAATTCATGTGTTAATTTCTGTTATTGACAAACACCACATCCAGCTAAATCTCTTTCAACCCCGAGACAGCAATTATATTCTTTAGGACAGATCTTCAGTATGACGTGAGCAGAACTCCTAAAAGCTGAAGCTGAACTACCTCTAGGGATTCTGATTCCTATTTCCAAAGGCAGCGCTGTTTGCTTGGAGAACCTCCTTGCTCTAAGAGAAATCATATGTCTAATTCCATACTAACGAGTCTTGTTTCTTTAGACTGCGCCTTTATAAATTCTTTAACCATTGAGTATGTCATACAGTCTCTAGCTGGAGGAGTTTATATTGCAAGCAATGACAGAGTCTGATCTGATAAAAAGTGATGCTGGATGAGATCTCCAGTGCTTATTAGTAAACATCCTACAACCCATTTGGTAGCTTTCTTAAGGCTCTTAGTATTGATTACACACATGATCTAGCCCAAGTGTATTTTTGTCTTAATGTTTCATACAGGCTCTTCAGCCATGGAGCGAAGCTATTTGCATCAGAGATCACCACTGTTACACCAGCCTGATCTCGTACAACATGTCCCGAACTCATACCCAAGCCAAACAGCAGATAATTCCCTACCCATCAGACATATCATGCAGTTTCACCATCAGAACTATGTTTCACTGCTGTGTTCAGCTATACAAATCCAGGGCTCTTTTAATGCCTATAGCATACATCCTCTCCTCTCTAAGTGCCCCCAGGTCCCCAGTCAGCACAATCCTTGCATTTCTGTTTAGCATTTATTTTGTTCTGTCTTGTACTATCGTTTGATGCTTAAACATCTATCCTTTATCACCCCAGGTTGTAAGTTCTTGGAAAACCATCTCTCTACTTCAGTTTTGTGTCTTCAGTGAGGCAGTATCAGTTTTATCCTCAGGGCAAAAAAAGGAGCAAATACTCAAATGTTTACCAAAATAGAAATGAAAGGCAGGAGGTGGAAAGAGAGCTGAAAATCACTGCTATTTCAACTTCAAGGTTCCAGGCCCCGTGCCAGGCACTTTACCTAGACCAGCTCATTTTCAAATCTCAAAGCCACCCTCAGAGGTATTACTGTTTACATCTGACAGATGAAGAAATAGATGATGAGAGATCTACAGGGTAACAGGCCAAAGGGACAGAAGTACAACCAAAGCCCATTCTCTGAAGTACGGGTCTGCAGTTTCATGCAATTTGCTTTAAAAACATGAAGTAAGTGCCCACGGGTAACAGAGAAAATAACACAAACGCATTAGTCTCAGTCACGCGGTTCCACAAGCCATCCTTCCTACTGAAAATCCTCTTTAAAAAAAAAACGAAAAAAGGTTTTAGATTAAAAAACAAGAACAACTTGTCCCCTAGTTGTTTCATGTCTTCACGCCCTTCATACCTCTCCGCTGACCAAGTGCTCAGAACAAATCCCAGCATCTCTCCCTGGGGTCTGGGGACGGTCGCAGCTTCTCTGAGAGTGAATTCCACCTTATAACAAAGGCGCCCAAAGCCCACGTCATTTGAGAGCCCTCTGCTGTGCTTCACCGTTCAGGAACCACGGCAAATCATTCTCATCTCATCTCTTGTGGACTTAATGTCAAGTAGTGACTACACTTCAGAACCTCTTTACTGTGTATTCTGTTCCATCACTTGATTCGATTTGAAGCACAAGCTGGCTTTTGTCATAATGAGTTCATTTTCAAGAACTGAAGGGCACATCACTAATAAAACCAGGTTTTACATTAATGCAGTGGGAAGGACACCATCATTTCTACCTATGACACACAAAAACTCTGAAAACAATATTCTGGTACACTAAAATCTAAAACTTAATGACACCAGAAATGTTTGGAGTACAATATTTAAATTTTAAAAATATACAGTATTCCAGGTGCATATTTGTGTGATTAGCGTCAATGACTGTAACTGGTAAAAATGACATATAAAATGATGGATATAAATGCTGACAAAAATAGACACTGATTATTTTTTTAAGGAGAAAAAGAAATGTAGCAAAATGCTATTAGGTGTACCTGGCTTGGGTGGTAGCATTAAAGGTGATACCAACTTTTTTCTAACACAATTCTTGTGCTGTATTTTTAAATTTTTCTATAATGATCCATATTCACAATGTCAAACAGTTATATAATTAAATGTTCTATGGATGGCATAAAGAAAATTTTGGTATAGAAAAAAAAATTGTCCATGAAGATGATGGAGACTTGTGCATGTTGGCATAGTGTGCCCACCACATCTCTCTAAATTATGTTAATGCCTAGGCTTTTTAATGTTAAAAACTAATTAGAAACAGATAAACATATATCTTAATTCATTCTTAATAAACATTTATTTAGTACCTACTACGTCCTGGGTAGGATTATTAGGCTCAGAGAGAGGTTAAGGGATGAGGAAGGGGAGCTCCTGTTCCCCCTTTATACTCCAACAGTGGAGAAAGATCCCTACTCAGCCATCTGCAGCTTAATGGGAGACAGGCTGGAAAGGGAGCATGCTCAATGTGCCTGAAGAACACAGAAGGACATAAGTGCTTCAGCCCGGGGCAAATGGGAAAGGGTGCACAAATGGGAAAGACAGGAAGGGGCCAACCAGGCAAGAAAAAGGGAACAGAGTACTCTGACTAATTAGGAACAGCCTGTGCAAAGGCATGGGGACTCAAAATGCCCAGCAACTCCATCCATCCATGTAGCCAACAAGTTCCACCCCTTGTGCATCCATCACTAGGATGAGACAACATTGAACACAGCAAGGTGGTCCCTCCCCTTGTGATACTAAATGCCTAGCACAGCCTAGCAGAAGGCTCAGAAAAGAAAGGCAACTATAACAGAGTGAAATAATCTCTCTCATGGAGTATCATAAGAGAGACGTTAATCATGAAAAGGCAGTCAGGAAAGATTCTTACAGGAAGTTATTGAGCCTGCTAGATGAGAAAGTGGGATGAGACACACATTGCCATTCCAGAAGAAATGGTCACCAGATCAAGGAACGGCTTTGTCCAGGAGTTTTTAGATCTGACACCAAAAGTATGATTTTTTAAAAAAAATTGATAAACTGGACTTTATCAAAATCAAAAATTTTTGCTCTGCAAGAGATGCTGTTAAGGGGAAGACAAACACACGCTTGGAGGAAATATTTGCAAGTCCCATTTCTGATGAAGGACTTGGTATCCAAAATGTATAAAGAACTCTCAGAAAGCAGTAAGAAACAATTCAATTTTTTTAAATGATATAAATAGATACTTCATCAAAGAAGATACATTGATGGCAAATAAGTATAAGAAAAGATGCTCAAAATTATTAGCCATTAGAGAAATGCAACTGAAAGCCAAAATGAGATGCTACTACAAACCTAATGAATTGCTTAAAAAAAAAACTGACAATATCAAGTGTTGACAAGGATGCAGAGTTCATTTCTTGAACCAAATGCTGAACATGGTGGTTACCTATACAACTATTTGCATTCTGGTACCTATCTGCACAATTTTTTCTAAGGAAATAAGAATGGCCCTAGCAGCATTGTTCATAATAGTCATTAAGCCAACCAAAATGTCCAACCAATAGTAGAATGGATAAACTGTGGAATGTTCATACTTTAGAATATAAAACAGAAGCAAAAATGAATCAACTACAGCTACATACAACAACCTGCAAACCCTCAATTCTCAGGTACTTAAAGCTCCCTGTTCTCTGATTGGGAGATGTTAAGTCTGAGAAGACCAAGTATCCAGGAAGCATTTTGACACATACTTTCGGAAAACTCAAAGTCTGAACTGAATGACATTCAGGATTCCCAGAATTTGTCACTCTGGAAACATCCAAGCCACCATGACACCCAGAACAAACATGGAGGCCAAGGCTCAGGCAGACCCAGGCCCAGAGATAACAAACAGTATCACAGATCTGATCAAAACTGATTTGGTCTCACTTAACTAGAAAACACACAAGACAGTACATAACTAATTTTCTTTCTGGGAATTCATTTTCCTGGATGACTATCTTAGAGCATAATAAGCAAATGTTGGATAAATACTCAACTTGGCATTCACATTGGTTCTCCCAACTGCTGTGCTGATACCACCTCACTGCAAAGAACTCCCTGGGTTTCCTGATGGGATCTGTGTCACTCATGACCAGTTCTTTCCCATATTTTCTCTAAGTACTAATGTGATCATATTACATAATGTAGAAAATTTCCAAACACCCATGCTCATCATCTTGACTGATTTTCTCATGGTGGTAAGTGGTTAGCAGCTTTCTGCCATCAGTTGATGGCATTTATTGTGTGTCCCACTGTTTTGATTTGACCTCCTAAGAGACTCTTCATTACCATGTGACTTTTCATCTGAAGTTAGCCTTGAAGAGATGAAGCAGTTTAGGGAAGACTTTCTTAAGTCTTGGCAACATGACAACAAAGAATTCTCATGTATGTTTCCGTGGGACTTCTACCATTTCTTTAAAGTAAGAGCCAAAATATTTTAAGAAGCCACACTTAAGGAAGGAAGACTTAGTGTTAATATCCTTTAGGACCACATGGCAGAATCATTTCTTACACTTTGCTGAATAGAGATGAGCTACTTCCCATTTCCTAATTTTTTCCTGATGTAAATTTATTACAAATAGAGCTGGGTTTTTTGTTTTGTTGGTGGTGGTGTTAATTCAGCCACTGGTTGGGGTTTGTAATAAAAGTCAGGATCCTTATTTCTCTTCTCAGTTGATACCTCTGAATAATCCAAACTTTCCCTTAAAACTCAAAAGATCCAAGTTTTTCACTTACAACTTTCCAGAAGAAAACATCAACATAAAACTGGACGAGATGGAAGCAACCCAGAAAAGACCAAACACTAGTCTCTGAGAATCCAAATTTTTCCATAGTGCAGTCATTTTGTAACTCTAATTCTTTTTCTTTATTTAAG